GCCATTAAAGGCACAGTCGCGACACTGAACTCATAGCCGGCGCTAATATTGGTGGGAATGTCAAAACTCTTAGCCCACGCTATGTCTCCCCTACCCATCACTTCGCACACCAGTCGTCCGATAGGTTCGGTCGCATTCACCACGAATTTTACGTCCCGTCCGACAGCGATGTCGGTTGTGTCCGAACGGATCACTTGCAAGTAGTGCCCGGAACTGGTTATAGCCTTCGTAGTGTCTAAATCATACGTGTGTCCCATATATTCGGCTTTAATTACCATTGTGTCAATATCTCTGGGCGGAAACACATCAAACTTAATGAGTCCATTGGTTGGCGACAACAGTAACGGAGTGTCTCTCCATTCACTCTCATTCAATGAATAGCCGTATTTGAGTTTGAGTTGCGGTCCGCTATCGGCCACTGGTTTGTCGTCATGTGTGACAACTTTGACGATAAACGTGTTTTTTAGTCCCGGTTTGTATGTGTTGGGCGAGTTGACCACTTGTCGCAATTGCCTAACATCCCTGTCGTATATGTCGATTGTTTTGGATGTGTTATACTGTTTTCCGGTCACTGTTTCCACCACTTGTGCCGTGAATGTAATTTCAAAGCCATAGTTCCCGATGTGTCGTACATTGAGTTCTAGATCTTCGACTAAATTGACGGATATTGTAGCGCTTCCGTCGATTGTAGTCTTTATACTGTATTTACCTTAAGTCCGGACACAGTTGTAAGACATTAATGTATTAACAGTAGTAATCACTTAAATGAGCACCATTTGAATGAGCACGTTTACCCGAAAGTAGGCTTACATTGTATCAAGGTGACATTTATAGCAGAGGCCAGTTGTGCTCAATCAAATGGTGCTCACTTTAAGTAATTATTACAGTAGTTATAAGTATAAATGATAAATAAATCTATACTATGATCTCTGGTCCGAACGTTAAGAGTGAGCTCTCCCTTAACAGCCTTCCCATTGGCATCAATTGCTTTAACAATTGCGACCACTTCTGTCCGATTTGTGGTCAAATATGTTGGCAACACTAACTTCACAGTAATCGTGGGCAACACATCTTCTGCAGCGACAGTGAATGTCTTTGTGGTGTTGTGTCTAAACGCCGTCACACCTATAGTCCAGTCGCCCAACACTGGCTGTGCCGACAGTTGCAGCTCTTCAGAGATGACACCGTTTTTAGGATACAATTTTGTCCACTCAATGACAGGCATTCCGTTACCGTCCTATCAATTCATATGAAAGTTATGAAATTAAACTCATTTTCTAATTGAAAATATTATAAAATACCTTAATATGGATATCAATTGGGATATTATTTTGGCGAAAAAGCGATAGATTGAACACAACGGCCCGGAATTGTACTTTCTGTCCGGGTTTATACGTGGCTTTGTCTGTCTGTATGAATACCAACAAACATTTCGCCTCATAATTAAGTGACAATTCATTTAAAAATCCATCCCTTGTTATGGCAACATCCTCATCGTACTTGGTGAAATTCACTCCCTTTCCCTCCACCCGCAACTTATACCTGCCTTCTGGCCAATCGCCGATCGCTAGGGTTAGCACTTTAGACTCAGCCGTACCGACAGCGACGGCACCGGTGCTGACACTGTGTGCCGGACCGATAACACTGGCATTCACTTCGATGGGCGCCGGGATGTCATACAGTGAGACACTGATGTGATAATTAGTGTTTGGCCGCAACACATTCGGGGCCACCACAGCATACATGGGTTTACTTCCATTCGCCCTAATATTCAACAATAATTGATTTTTATAAGTTTTAAAAATTAATTAAATATTTTATTTCATTATTAATGAATCATTAATTAATACAAACAAATGTGTTGTTGAGATGATTGCCAATAATGTCAGCCATTTAATAGAAAATTGAAAATTATGTTTAATTGCATTTAAACCCATAGTTTGAACACAAAATTTTTAAAAGCAATTCTTGTATTGAAAATACGTTTACACAATAGAGCTATGCTTACAATGAAAGCAATTCAATCTATTTATACTATTTATGAACGTTTAAAAACTGATAATTTATTCACATAAATCTGTCTTAATTCATATAAAATTTATTTACAAATGATCTCAATTTAATTGACTTTGTTTTTAATTAATTTAAAAACACTGAAAATTTCGCAATATTTGTAAATAAATTGTATGATTTAAGTCATATTTTTCTTGTAAATTAGTTATAAGTTTGTAAACTACAGTAATATCAATAGATTGTTTTCATTGTAAGAATAGATTAATTGTGTAAACATAATATTATTTTCAATACAAAAATTGTTGTAAAAAATTTTTTTTGCTCAAAGTTTTACTGAAATGAAACATAATTTTGAATTATCTATTAAATGGCTGACATTATTGGCAATCATCTCAACAACACAAAAGTTAGTATTAATTAATTGATGAAATTTATATTTAATTAATTTTTAAAACTTATAAAAATCAATTATTGTTGAATATTAGAGCAAATGGAAGTAAACCCATGTATGCTGTGATAGCCCCTTATGTGTTGCGGCCAAACACTGATTACCACATCAGTGTCTCACTGTATGACATCCCGGCGCCCATCGAAGTTAACGCCAGTGTTATCGGTCCGGCACACAGTGTCAGTACCGGTGCCGTCGCTGTCGGAATGGCTGAGTCCAAAGTGCTAACCCTAGCGATCGGCGATTGGCCAGAAGGCAACTATAAGGTGCGGGTGGAGGGAAAAGGCGCAAATTTCACCAAGTATGATGATGCTGATGCGATAACAAGCGATGGATTTTTAAATGAAGTGTCACTTAATTATAAGGCAAAATGTGTGTC